CCTCTGAACCTGTGTTTTATGGAATCCTAGAATTTTGCCTAAGCCTGTAACAATCCTTCAGTTTAACCCTTTGCCTGACACTAGCTCTTCATCAACCCTGTCCATAGATAGCTGTTTACTGCTTAGAAGGTCCTAGGGGTACGAATTCCCATGAAAAGAAAATTGTCAGGAAAATCAGACTTTCTGTGAACATTTACTAATTTAGCTTAGTTTTAAGTTGGATGTGAAGTCCAGTGGCTTCCTGAAGAGATCATTAATGTCTAAAACCTGCCACCAGACTTTTCCTTTGGATTCATGTCTGTCATGGGATCTAATAAGAATTTCATAGCTAGAGTATTAATAGAACAAAATTGTAAGGAAAAGTAGTTATTTCATAGCTCTGTTTTGTTACCATTCCTAACATGTTACCACTCTAGGGAGGTCAGGGCGCTAGATTTTGTGCCATCCACACAATTCAGCTTCTCATATTCATGTTGTAGTGAAAAGTAATAGACTCATGGTCATTCATTTTACCCCCAAATAGTGAAACTCTTCCATAAATGGAATGAAGTGGCTGAATGAGTTCATTAATTACGTGAATGGCTTAGCCCTTTATCTGCCTTTATAAATCTCCTTGCTCTAGGTCCTATTGTTCTCATTTTAAACTAAGACTTTTACATGATTTTCTTGAGTAAAGAGGAAAAAGCTGTTTTTGTCCATAAACATGTGTGTGTGTGTGTGTGTGTGTGTGTGTGTCTGTGTGTGTCTGTGTGTCTGTGTGTCTGTGACCAAATGCAGGACCTGTTGACGACTGAGCATGCACTCGACAATGAGCTACATTCCCAGCCTTTTCTTACATTTTAAACTCGAGACAACTGACCACTCTTGCTTCAGTTTTTTCATGTTACTTCAAGGTCTTATCAAATTGCACGTGCAGCAGATAAAGTGGTGTGTTAGGTCAGAAGTAAGAATCAGGGGTGGGGTGGAGAGACGCAGGATGAACACAGGGCATCCTCCTGGGTCTCTGCTTCTTGGTCTCCTCCTCCTCCTCCAGCTTGCAGTGGCATGAATCTTCTTAAAGAGCATTTTTTTGGTGACTTCCTTTTGCCTAGAGAACTGTAGAAGAATAAGGATAAGAGAATTGTGGAAGACTTTGTTGTGATTTAAATCTTTATTGGGATGGCTTATTTATTTTGCTTACAAAATTAACTGTTTGAAAAGGAAGACTTTATAACTGTTATCTAACTTTGTAAGAGAATTTATAATTCTTATCTTCTACTTGGTTTATTCTGAGGACACCAGTAGAGGCATAATTGGGCAGTTAAGTATCTTAAAGACGGTGAGGTTATTCATCTCCAAAAAACTGTTTACCACTTCAAATGATCTCAATAGTTTTCTCTGCCAACAATCCTCACACATATAATTTCTTCTAATAAACACAAAGTGTCAAAGTCATAAGTTTATCTCTTTTAAAAGTTATGATTTTATTTCAGTAGTGGAAGCAAACTTCTAAACATTGTGAGATTTTTGTTTGTTTGTTTTACATTTTAAAAAATAGATCTGGACTAAAGCTTGACTTTCTAATGACAAGACAAAGACTAAGTATAGTTGTAACTTAAATCCTATGACAGTCGGTATATAAATATTCTCCAGTCTACTCCCATGATCATTAACAAAGGTTAATGCCAACGCAGTGTCTTCTACTCTCAAAAATGCCTACAGCAGTGAATCTTTTAGAGCTTTCAGTGATACAAAGAGAACAATGGAACACACATGCGATAGGTTTGCCATCACTGGCTTATGGCAACAATCTCATCAGTCCCAAGTTTTCATGTTTGGATGCTTCTTATTTAAATTTACCAGAATAGATGAATAAATAATTAAGCCTTGTTAAATCTGTGAACTGTGATTTCATCTGTGATTTTAAGAACCACTACATCAACAATTTTGTTACTTACAATACTTAAGAACTTTAGTTTTAACTGTAGTACCCCATTAAATCCTATGACAATTGGTATATCTCAAAAAGAATGTCCCACTTTCTCTAAATTGATACACTCTGCATCACTCACTGTTCTCTAAATCTCTGCTCTTCCTATGGAGAAATCATGCCCACCAAGGACCATCTCAAATGCCACTACAGTCAGTCAAGATTTACTGACTTGATACTATGATTCAGGTGCTGTATTGAGCATTTAAATTTTTCCCATCTTTCATGAACTCTTGTACATTAGTGGCCAGAATGGACATTAGTTACAATCATTACAGTTTAATTATATGTATAGGAACGTATATCTGTAACGTAAGCTTCCTGGGGGACTGAAGTAGGAGGATCACAAGTTTGAGGCTAGCCTGGGTAACCTTAGTAAAACCTTGTCTCAGAGTAAAAATAAATAAAATAAAAAGGACTGAGCACATAGCTCAGTGCTGCCTGCACTAAACTCCCCAGGACTGACATAAAAAAGAACCCTGGTTCTGAGATAAGGGACACAATTTAATGGGAGTCTGTAAAGTCTTCCATGAATTTTCTGGCCAGACACATTTCTTTCTTCTGAAACTCTGAGGGCATTTTGCAACTCTTCAGTTGGAATGATTTAGTTGTAAGCAACAAAAATCTACTCTGGTAAAGTTAAGTAAAAATAAGTATACTTAGAGGACAGACAGTCATAGAATCAGGGAAAGCTGGGGAACCAGTCAGAGGGGCAAGACCCATAAGAGCTTCTGGGGCAGGAAGCAATAGACACCCATGGGCAACCTCCTCAGAGCACCTCTGAGATGACAGCTGAGTTCCACAAAGGACAAGACTGTCCTTTAGTGGTTAAGAGCATAGGCTGAGCAGTCAAACTGGATCCTCTACTTCCTAGCTGTGCGCACACGGTGAGTCCCTTTGTTTTTTTATCAGAACTATGGGGAAACAATGGTATCTACCTAAACTCACTGGGAGGAGTTAACTCAAGTAATTCATACAAGGCACTTAAAGCAATGCCCAGGCTGAGTGTGGGGGTACACATTTATATGTTCCAACTCATCAGGAAGCTAAGGCAATAATTTTATGGCCATCAAAGTAATTTAGTGAGAACTTGTCTCAAAAGATAAAAATAAATAGGACTATAGCTCCATGGTGTAGCATCTCTAAGTTTAATCCCTAGTACCACCAAAAAAAGATAAAAAACCCAACAGTGTGTAGTAGCCTAGTACATTGTAAGCGTTCAGGGTACATTAGTAAAATTCGCAGTTTCTTTTGTAAAATATGCCCTCCAAGAGTCACATTTCAGGCCGTCATCCTATTTGGAGTTGGTTGTCCAGTCTATCCTGAGCCTTATGACAACTTCTTCAGGATCAGAGCCATGGATGGACAGCTGCCCAGGGAGCGGACAGGGGGAAGGGCCAGAAGAGAGTGCAGGTGCAGGGCTGGCAGGAGGAGAGGCGCCCTTTCCTCTTTGCACTTGGATCTTAGACTAGTGTCTGCCATGGCTCCCTTGCTTTTGTTACTAACCATCTTTAAGTATCTAGTGGCAAAGAAAAACGTGTCATCTGGGTATCTCCAGAAATACAGTGTCTCAAAAGATAAGAATGTTATTAAATATCCACTTACTGAATGTAAATGAAATCCTGATTTGCAGGATTCACATCTCAGGTCAGGTATTGGGTATGATTGGCTTGAACCATTTTTGGATTTTGGGGGGTTTCCTTAAGCTTAGTATTTTCAAGAAAAATATGGAGAAAAAGCTATACAGGTTTTCAGAACCTCCCAGAAATTTCCCAAGACAGCAATGCCAAGAGAGATACTGTTCTTTGTAAAAGATTTAATTTATTTAAAGAGAAAACAGGGGGCCTGCCCATTAGCTCAGTTGTTTAAGTGCCTGCTTAAGCAAAGGCAGTCAGGCTCAGGATACTGTGGTTCGATCCCCACATCCTCATGCCTTACCAGACCTGCCCTTAAGGCATTCTGAGCCAGCCAAAAAAAAAAATCCTTCTAAAGAGAAAACAGTGTGCACGTGGATGCATGTGGAATATTGTTCACTTTCTGTATTGTTTATAAGAAAAATTGTGAAAACTTGTCCAACATTGAGGGTTTAGCTAAATAAGAAAGTGCACCTATAATTTGAAAATACTTAAAAAATGTTAAGTAACTAATTTAGGGCTAGGGAAATAGCTCAGTAGAATAAGCGCTTGCCTGGCAAATGCAGGGGCTTGAGTTCAATCCCCAGTTCCACAAAATAAACAAACAAAAAAACTAGTCTGTATAGGTAACAGCATAAAAAGTACCCCAAGAAATATTAATAGCGAAAAGAGTCAAGGCTCTGAGAAATACTCATAGTTTAGTCTCCTTCTGAGAAAGAAAACAGAACAGATTGATACTATCTTGCATTCTGAAACATGTGTAAGCAAAAATCATTTGAAAAGATCTTGAAGGTTTATAGCCCCGGTACAATATGACTTATTTAAAGACAAAAATAAAAATGAGACTTGGGAGTTTATACTGATATATATATACATAAACGACTGATATATATATATATATATATTTCATATAAATGAAGCAGTGTAAATATAAATGTACCATATATACTATGTATAAATGTATATATAAACATATGTAAATGAATATGCATATATATTCATGTGTGTATATATAAATGTACAATATGTATGTCTATACCAACAGTATATACACCCTTATGTGTCTCTGTGTAAATATATATGTAGATATGTATATGTAAATGTGTATGTAGATATGTATATATAAATGTGTATACACATACATACATATACATACTTGCCTCTAGGGATGGACCAGAATTATGAATGATAATCCAAAAGAATCTTAACCTATTGTTTAATATTGAAATTTTTATGAGAATGTACTGGTGTATAATTTAATGAAGTATTATATGTTAGTTGTGGTAATGCTTATATATTTATATGTAATTTTAAATACTTCTATATGTATACATGAAGGAACCAAAAGAAACCCAGTGAACAGAAGTTCACATGCCTGTGAACCTCTGTCCTTTCAGAGTGCCGGGACATTCTGCTCCCCGTCATCACCAAAGAGCTGAAGGAACTGCTGGACCCAAAGGATGAGCTGCAGCACCAGGCCCTGGAGAAGAAGTACTGCGTGGAATTGCTCAACAGCATCTTGGAGGTCCTCAGCTCGCAGGACGTGGTGAGTCCTTGGGATGGTGATGTTGTGCTGGACTCAAGACTAGAGCTGAGTAAGTGCTAAAATAGTGGTACTGATGAGAAACAGCTGAAGTCCACAGATAAAAGTCAGTGGCCTGCCCAGCAAGCCGGCTCTTTCAGTGACTTAACCTCTTTGCTATGAAAGACGGTATTTTGTCATCCTGCGTCCTAGGGAGCAGACTTTCTCGTAGTGTAGGTGCAGACACCATGATAGCCTTTCTGGATGACTTGTCTATTTACTAAAGCCCTCATTTTCAGTAGAGGGAGGGGGAACTTTTTTAATGTCTAATATCAAGAAGACACTGTAATCTTCTTTCTTGGATGGTGGAGAATGGTTGAGACTCTTCCTACTGAGGAGACTGTCCAGGCCCACCCATACTCTTGAAAGAGAGGGTGAGGAGAAGGATGGTGGAAAGGGCATGACTGAGACAGTGAAGCCAGTATATATCTAGTAATTACTATTGAGAGGTTAGGCAGCTATGGAACGAAAAAGAATTAGTGGAATAGTGAAAGTATTTCCAGGTGAACTGTTCTAGCACCAGTGATTCCTGTGGACAGAACCTTTAGAAAATGATTATCATCTGGAGTGGTACAGTTGAGAGGCAGTAATTAGACACAGGCCTCAAATTGTTAAGAATTAGAAGTCAGAGATAAAAACTCTTGATTTGACCCAGGCTCCTTTGCAGCTCCACCTACTCTACGTGTACAAGGTATCCTCTCCTCAGATGGGACTGGTTCCGAGAAGACTTTGTAGGCTCAAACAACTAATATATCTTTTCCAAGTATTCGTATAAATATTGCTCTCGTACCTCTGTCTTTTTTCTTTCTGGAAGGTCCTCAGAGAAGTTTTCTGGGTGAACTGTACCTATAGGGGCTGGGGAGATGGCTCAGTAGAATAAGCACTTGCCTGAACTGTACCTAGGACTGCTGTAACTAGAAAAAGCTCTGTGAAGCAACAGGTCTTTGCAGCTTTCACCCCATAGTCAAGGATTATCATCATTTTCTTAGATGTGTGGTCTCTGGGAATTAGGACACAAAGGCATGATCTGGACTAGGGATGGAGCCCAGCGGTAAAATGCTGCCATAGAATGTGCCAGATCCTGGGTTTGATCCCTGATATCACAAACAAAACAGTTATTGATCTGTTTCCATAAGAAAGTCTTGGGGCCAGGGAGATAGCTCAGTAGAATAAACACTTGTCTGGCAAGTGCAAGGGCCTGAATTCAATCCCCAGTTCTGAAAACAAAAAACAAAAAACAAAAAAACAAAACTCTTTAGACCTGCATATAAGCAAATGCAATATATAGGTTCTGCTTCTATGATTTGAAAACCCCAAATCTGCAGCATTTCAGAAATCTGAAGCTTTTCAGTAATGACTTGATATCGCAAGTGGAAACTTTGATCTTGGGCCCGATAGAATGGCTCCCACAAAGAAGTGTGGTGAGAAGAAGAAGGGCCGTGCTGCTATTAATAAAGTAGTGACCCAAGAATACACAATCAACATTCAAAAGTGCATCCACGGAGTGGGCTTCAAGAAGCGCGCCTCTCGGGCACTTAAGGAGATCTGGAAGTTTGCCATGAAGGAAATGGGGACTCCAGACATGCCCATCAACACCAGGCTCAACAAAACTGTCTGGGCCAAAGTAATAAGGAATGTTCCATATTGTATCCGGGTATGGTTGTCTAGGAAACAGGATGAGGATGAGGATGAAGATTCACCAAACAAGCTGTATACCTTGGTAACCTACGTACCTGTTATGTTCAGAAATCTCCAGACAGTGAATGTGGATGAGAACTAACTTGAAAATAAAGTTACAGAAATTTTTTTAAAAAGTGGAAACTTCAAGTCTTTGAAACCATATTTCATGTATGATATTAGTGGACATTACACAAAATTATTTTCAGGCACGTGTAAGGTATATATGAAACAAATGATTGTTATGTTTAGACATAAGTCACAAATGTACAATGTCTAGTAGGTATATCAAAAGTATTAAAACTTAAAGGAAATGGGAAACTTCAGGGTTTAAGCATTTTGGATAAGGTACACCCAACTTAATAATAAAATAACTAAAATCTAAATGTGTAGTTTGCGAGAACTACAAGGGATGGTATGTATAATTAATTTCGGCAAAGGAGCTTTCACAAGAGGTAAAACTTCAGGAGGTACTCAGGGGTGAATAATTAAGGATAATAGCTGTTTCTTTACTTGCTGCATTTGGGGCCTTGTACAAAATGCAACCCATGCGTCCTGTCAGATCATCTTGATCTTAAGTATTATGGCTTCTTCTATTTCATAGGTAAAAAAAAAAAATTGAGATTCATAGCCTTAATTAATATTTAAAGCCAGACAGCAAATAAATGTAATTGTCAATATTCAAGCTGAGACTGCTCGGACTACAAAGTCTGCTTGACTGTGGGCATCGGGAATCAGAGGCAGGGTCTTTTCCCTCTCTCATTCTACCACATTTATGAAGAAGAGCTAAAACCCAAGAGCTAGGTAAAGCTCAAGGTTCCTTCCAGTAGTGATATTCAGATGGTGATGTTTCCATTTGTACTCCACCTGGGCAGCTGCTTAGCTCATTCCGAACTTTGCTACTTGGTCTTATTTATTGTTATTTGAAGAGAGAGTTTGGTCTTATAGTTTAGGAACCTGAGAGTTGGCCCATCATTTCTGTTGGGACATGATAGAAATGTTACCTCTTTCTGCTGAAAATCTAATTTGCAATGTTTCTTCTGTGTAGCACTCCTCAGGCCCTTTTTATTTGGGAAATACATCATCGAGCCCTGGGAACATGTAGGTGTACCCAATTCAAGGGACTGAGTCGTAATACACTATTCATTCCTGATTTGGTTAGAAGGTGAGCCAGTCTCACTGTCCATCTGTAAAGCAGGATGCTGAAGATTTGCCCAACCCGGAGGAGTGACCTCCTTCAGGTTTGCCCCAACACAGATTGTTACCATTTTTGTACCTTTTGTAACCAGACCCAGGTGTATGATGTCTCCCATGTCCTTGGCATCTAACCTCAGAGCCGAGCAGTGAGTAGGAGGCACAGAGCTACCCGTGAGGGCTTGTGTCACCAAGGTATAGAGGAGGCATGTTGTGTCACATGAATTCTGACTGTAGGGCCAAGTGCAGTCCTCTCTCGGGGTCTTTCCTGGGAAAAGGACCAAATGCTATTCTCACCACTGCTTTGAGTACAAGCTTCTGCCATCCATGGCAAGCCTCACATCCCTTTTCTCTAACTCATGAAGGTGGAAACCTCTCCTTAGGAGCTCCTCATTTGATGCATCAGCCCCATTCTATGGCCATGATGACCTTGAACCAGAAGGAAAATCAAAAGTCCAGAAGCATCCAACTTAACCCCCCCCCCATGTTCTACTTTATAGGGACTCCAGTGCTGATTGCTGGTTCAGTTCACCTGGGGGCCCTGTTAGCCACAGCAATGCTGAGGCCCCAGCCCTCAGCAGGCTGACTGCATGTGCTGGGGTGGCCAAGGACATTGTAATGAGAAGTTTGCTAGGTGCTGTTCACAGCAGGCAGGGGGAAGGACCACAAGTCCATAGCAGAAAGCAGAAAGCCCAAGCGTGCAAAGGCCAGGAGGCGCCGTGCAGACACGCTTCTCACCATCAGGTCTGGACAGTGGGGTCAGATTATTTTTCAAA